AAAAGCGAAGTTCCTATTTATGAGCTTATTAAATGTTCTAATATTAGATAATGCATTTAAAATATTAATGGTAATAACAGTAAGGTAATTAGTGTAGTTTTCACACACTGTAGAGGAATAAAAAAAATTATACAAGGCAGATCAAAAAGAAATTTTAAATATTATTTTTTTATTTTTTAACATCGAAACTCGAAGATATAATATACAGGTATAATACCAACCATAAATAGAGTATGTCATATAAAAATGTTTTGAATTTTTACTAGAATCGACCCTTGTTAAAAAAGGGATTAGATTAAGTTTCCCTTTGATCCAGTCTGTATAGTACTTTTTTGGTTTTTCTGCACGTGTGCAAAAACTACACTAAAACACTTATAGACTTTCTATATCTTATAGAAAATAAAATAATTTGCGTTGAATTTGAGGGATTTCATCTGAAAAATTATTAATTTGGAAGAAAAGCGGCAACAAGAGACAGAAAATAATGATATTTTAGTGCAGTCTACTGGTCGCAGCGACCAGTCAACGGCCAGGTCGTTAATGCGCGCTGTATAATTTGATTTAATGGTATCACAGGCAGCATAGACTTGGCCGTCAGTGCGTTTGGGCTCTTAACAGTACCTCTGCATTATGGTGGCTCAATTTGGCCGTATTGCTGCCTAGGCTAGAAGAAAGGGAGGTAGACCTAGAAAATCCTGAAACTGAACAGTTAAGGAAGCATTTTCCACAGTAAATTTTTATCAAAGCCACCCAATGTTTTTCTGTAATACATACACTGCAAACATATTTTATATCTATAAATAGTAATAAACTATTTTTAGATCATATAGTGCTCATTTTTATTTATAACTTTTTATACCCACCTTTTACCCATCGTTTCTATGCTAATATACCTCTCAACTTAATTAACTAATCTAGTTGACTTAAAAATTTATAAGGAATAAAGAGTTAAGTTCTAAATACCGGGTGTTGCATCGTCGGACGAGACATAGGAAATCCCATGTAAATTTTAAAGGGGTCAATTATTGGCTTCCCTAATTATTTTAGAGAATAATTCTATTTAGGTTTATTGAAGAGCACTAAAACCCACATTCAAAAGAATAACTTTAGATATTTTTGATTAGCTCGTTTACGAGTTATCGCCGATTTCTTTTCAAATATTTCTTTTTTCTTATGGCCCTGTATTTGCTTATGAGCACCAGTCAAGGTAAAAGATAACTGTCAAATGAAGTTGTCATTTCAGAAATTTACCTATTTAGTGCTTTATTATTATTGAAAACTCATTCCTACATCGGAAATCTTAAAGATGTATTTATAAATACAAATTAATATGAATTAAAGTAAAATAAAGTAATCAATTACAAGGTTAATTATAGTATTATTACAACATTCAATAACTTATTAATTTAGGTACTATTAAATTGTTAGAACTTTAGGATTTAAGATGTTCAAATATTCCTCCATCGACTGCTAGACACAACCCAGGCGATCATAAAATTCTCTTCTTACATTCGCTAGTTGGTAAACTGAAATTCTATTGCATTCGGCAGAAATAGCATTTTTTAACTCGTCTAGATTTGGGTATTTTTTATCCTTGTATATCCTGATTTTTAAATGGCCCCAGAGAAAGAAATCATTTGGCGAAATGTCAGAAGACCTTGCTGACCAATTTACTGTATGATTTTGGCCAATAACGTTTCTGTTAAAACTATTGTCTAAATATTCCCGAACAGCCAGGGCAGGCAGCCATCCATTTGGTACCAAACTTCCTAATTTTCCCTAGCGGCATCATATAAAGCAGGCAAAATATGATTTTCAAGTAGTTCCAAATAATATTCTGCATTTAAATTTCGCGTAAGAAATAATGGCCCGATAATATTGTGTCCGAATATCCCTGCCCAAACATTTACTTTCTGTGGATATTGCGTCTTTGTTACGACAAACCTGTGTTGGTTTTCTTTGTTCCAGTATCGATAATTTTGAACATTGGGTTCATTATTTAAGGTAAACGTGCATTCGTCAGTGAAACATATGTTTTTTAAAAATTCCCTATCCGTGTTTGCTCTTTCCATCATATCAAAACAAAACGCTTGCCGGCGTATTTCTTCCCCATCTCGTGGCTCTTGGTGCTTTTCATATTTGAAGGAATAGTGTTTATATCGTTTCAAAATTCGAAACGCTGTAGTGTGATCTATTCCTATTTCATCCTCAAGTTTCCTTGTGCTGATCTTTCCATCGTTCTCTTCCACGCACAATAAAACTTCCAAGTCGGTATCATTTCTTGCATCTTCTCTTTGTTCCTGCCTTGCTTCACATCTGCAGATATTTATTAGGGTACCTTTGGTCTCAAATATCTGGATATTCCTTGCGATTGTAGATTTTCCAGGTATCGGTCTATTCGGATACAGAGCAGCAAACATGTCCGACACCTTTTGATAACGACAAATTTCCTTGATAATACCATTTAATCATCAATACTCTTTCTTCGGTAGTGTAATTCATGGCTAATATTTTCGATGTAGGTATGAGTTTTTAATAATAATAATAATAAAGCACTAAATAGATAAATTTCTGAAATGACAACTTCATTTGACAGTTATCTTTTACCTTGACTGGTGCTCATAAGTAGAAGGAGAAATATTTAAAAAGAAATCGGGCGATAACTCGTAAACGGGCTAATCAAAATTATCTAAAGTTATTCTTTTGAATGTGGGTTTTAGTGCCCTTCGATAAACCTAAATAGAATTATTCTCTAAAATAATTAGGGAAGCCAATAATTGACCCCATTAAAATTTACATGGGATTTCCTATGTCCCGCTCGACGATGCAACACCCAGTATAGGAGAACTTAGGATAAATATTTTACTGCTAATAAACTAATAATAAACGACTACTTTACTCCTAACTGCTGCTATAGTCTGTCCAACGAGAAGATCCTTGACAGTGATAGATGTGTCTGTCATTTTAATTTCAAAGTAGTTTATTTTATTTTACAAAGAAATAAGTTGGTACAACTGGAACGCATAGCGATATATTTAAAATTTGATTGACAAGATGACAAGTGATTACTTCAAAATATTGTGAAAAAAAGTGTATAAAACTGAAAAAATGTAATCGAGTTATTTTATTTAATAAAAACGGTATGTGTTAATACAAAACAAACAAGAACAAGACACTACATACCAAAAAAATATAAAAAAGAACTATTATGTACTTTCAAGCCTTATGAAACTACCCGCATTTATGATTATATTTATCAATATAACTTATGTACAAATACAAATTTGTAATATTCCACAGGAATAAATAAAACAACATAGGTAAATAAAACAAACTATTTTATTAATAATAACACCTACCAAATTTTATACCTTAAAGGTTGATTAATTAACTTTAATCTTAATTTTTTTAAACCAGTACCTTTTGACATTATTTTTCTGCAGTACTAAAATCCATTATTTACCTATCGTGTGATGTCGATATTTTACAGCTACTCCAGTTTTTAGTATATGTTTTGTTTGATCCTTCTACCATATACGAGATGCACTTATCTACGACGAAATGGTATACAAACTTTATCGATGGCGACTTCATTGGTGTATAAGACTTTCTGCCTGGGCAGCGAATATTAACCATAAACTGTGCTCTGGGTCTACAGTTAATTTTCACTCGATTTTTCCTCCACTTGACTTCAAAAGACACAAAACACACGTAATAATACGAATCAAAATGCATCATCTTCCAAAACGCAGGGTATTTAACAAAAGTTGACACAAAATTATAACCTATAATTTGGCAAGACTTTGACAAGCGTCAAAAATGACAAAAATCTAAAGGCGAGTTCATACGCATCGGCGTCCGTTTGTCGTTCATCGTTCCGTCAAACCAATAAAATTGAAATACGATCTGTCATTTTTTAAATAAACCAATAAAAATGGTTAAAAACAACAAGACACGACGCATGACGGATTTATATTTAAACCCATCCATAGATAACTTAAAAATGATTAGAAACTTTTTTTAGTAAAATAAATAGATTGGTATGGGACGTCATCTGCTTTTCTTCTGTCATCGTCTGTCGAAATCTTACCTGAGAAAAAAAACAGAGTATATATTTAAAACTTAACTTTGTTCTTTATAATATTAGTTATGTCTGATTTATTGAAAAATTATAATACACTACTCAAAACAATTATCGCATGTTTGAATAAAAATAATTATTACATATTTTGAAACGAAGCATCCATTTTTCTGCCTTTCTCTTGTGAGTTTTTTTATGATAATTAAAGTACGCACTGACATGTAATTTTTAGTCGGCCGCCTATTTAGTTGCAAAAATATAAACCATACATTTCTATGGAGTCGATCGGCCCAATATTTGATTACATTCCGTAGCCTTAGGCCATATTTGTAGCCAATATATCCTTATGGAGCCGCGCTCACATGCAATCAAATAGTCGGCTGATCAAATAGTCGACGTCACAAGTACGTATTGTTTTCACTTTTGCAACTAAATACTGGGCCGATTAAAAATTACAGGTCAGCGCGTAGGCTTATTGCATCGAATTTTCCTTTACAGTATCCATACTATTTAAAATCGTAAGTCAGGGAATTCAAAGTGTCTTGTTTTTCAAATTAGTTTTTTTTTAAATATGCGATAATTGTTTTGAAGAGTTTATTATAACCATCTTAAACAAGACAAATTTAAATTGATTTTAAATGCAAATCGTGCTTAGGACAAATTAATCCACCTGAATTTTAAATTGCAGGATTTTGTGATATCTTTTATAATATTTTAACAAAATAGTAGAACTAATGAAGAGTTATTTTCACAAAATAAGCAAACCGGAATTATTTTAACTCTATTCGTAAGCTCCTTATAAAGAATTATTACAATAATTTATAGTGCTTCTTTAGGAGAGTGTACAATGTATATTTTATATTAAAGCAGGCTTATTAAAATAGTTTTAATTAATATACATATATATATTTCTTTTCAGATAAGCTGGAAAAATGGCGTCGTATAGCAATGAATGCGCGGATCAAGTCATGAATCAAACCAATGTAACAGAAAATCCATGGCCATATATAGAGTGCTTTTATGGACCGCAGACCCAGGAATTGCCCATGACTATTTTAATCACAGGTAATATACACTCAGATGCAAAAAAAACACGACAGGAAGTTTTTAAAGTTTAAAGTGCCACATTTTTTTATTTTTAGCCCTATTTTTATAAATTTTCTAACAAACTGTATACAGGGTGTCCCAGAAATAAGTGCAAGTATTTTAACTGTTGGTATAGTTCAACCTCAGAACACGCCTATGAGGTTTTTTTCTCGAAAAAAAAATTGAAAATTCCAAATTTTTTGAATTTTTTTTTGGAAATTTTTATAGTTTTTAGTTAAAAACATAATTTCTTGATAATTTTATGGCAATGTAGGTATTAGATTAACTTTACAAGAAATAAAATCCAGAAAAGATCCAGTAGTTCTCAAAATTTTAGCAAAAAATCATTTTTTTTGGAAATTTTCAAAGTAAAATAACTCCGTTATTTTGGACTTATTTGAAAAACGATAAAGAGAAAATATGTTTCTTTTATCGAGATCTAGAATAGATCTAGATCTAGAATGGTAATTGACGGAAACAGTACTGGGAGAATTTTCAGGTCAGGGGCTTGGAACACCCTCAAAAAGGAAATTCCACTTCTCCAACTCCCAGTGGATGACATACCAAGAAGTTACAACTTTGAGAAACACCTCACTGTAGTATTGAGTAATAAAAAGGATTGGAAGAAAGAAACGCTTACTCAGCATATAAAAGACAATACCATCACGTGGTATACTGATGCTTCCAGAACCAAAGCAGGGACAGGGATAGGAGTATTTGGGCCGAAAACTAAATACTCCGAACCAATGGGCACCTACCCCAGTATCCTTCAGGCAGAAATTTGCGCTATCGAAAGATGCGTACAATTTATCTAAGATAGGAACTATCGAAAACAGGAAATTGCCATCCTATCCAATAGTCAAGCAGCACTTAACGCGATGAACTCAGTAACCATCAATTCGAAGTTGGTCAAAGAATGCCTAAAGAAGCTCAACAAATTAGGCAAAGAAAATAAAGTCCTCCTACTCTGGGTGCCTGCTCACCAAGGGATAGAAGGCAATGAAAAAGCAAATTATCTAGCTAGAAAAGGAACGAACACTCCACTAACTGGACCAGAACCGTTCTGTTTTCCAAACGGGAACCAACTGAAAGCGGAACTGAAGAATCTGGAAGACTCCATCCGTAACTTGGAATGGGTGTCCTCCAACGGTCTAAGACACTCGAAAAAATTCCTCAGAACTTATGACCGAGAAAAATCAAATGTTTTCCTTGATTTAAGTAAAAACAATCTTCGGATTGTCACGGGGTTTCTAACAGGACACTGTCTCCTCAACGAACACCTCAGTAGGCTGAAACTGAGAAACAACGGCGAATGCAGATTTTGTGGGGAAAATGGGGAAACACCAGAACACCTTATCACTGAGTGCGCCGAGACGACGACCATTCGTGCCATGAACCTTGGTACGTCTGATGTCGAGGATGGGGAGCTGGCCTCTGTGGAGCCGTCTCAGATACTGGCTTTTGTTAAAGCCCTGAGACTATATGATGAGTTATAACTCGTTATAATACACAATGAACACACAATAGATCTTTAAGGTCGCGGTGATTAACTCCCCTCCTAAACATTTTATCGAGATCTACTACCCCTTAAAATACTAGCACTTATTTCTGGACACCCTGTATAGATAACTGTATATAGTTTTCTAAAAACTTTTGTACTTGGCTTTTTATACAGGGTTACTCGAAGGGTTGATTCTTCTATTGTTTTTTCCCTAAACTTTAACAACAAAACACCCTGTGCAATAATTTCGTTAGCAAATTCTGAAACATTATTTTTCGGCCAGAACCATGACCCCTGACGATTTTGTTTTTTGGCTCGTATCAATACATGCCTTGGTTAATTGTTAAGAGCGAAGTGAACTTACCACCAGCAATTTGCAATTTTTTCAGTTACCATAACATGATTAATTATATTTTTTAATATTACAAGGTGGACTTGGTAACTATTCTCATAATGCCATATTGACAATCTTTTAAATATAACTAAAAACTGAGTTTACCAGTATATTTATACCGGGTGCGTGTCAAAAGCGGCTCACGCCTATAACTTTATAATTTTTTCAGATAAGAAACCAAATTTGGTATGTTAGTATATGACTTAAATTAGGATTTATTGAAGTATTCAATATTGTTTTCCGTTTTCACCGTAACTTCCTGTTTCACTGGAAATTACTACAACTTTTAATTTGTAAACGACACCCTCGGTAAATTTCTACTTTATTCGATAGAAAATGACACTCTGAATAGAATGACATGTCATATGTCAACTTTTGACATTTTCTCGAATGGTTTATTGTAACATGTGGTTCATAACGACAATTTGACTCGAAATACCAAGTGTGTGGTATCAAATAATTTGTAAAAACATGCTTTTACCAAATATGCTAATGAGCCACCCTTGTTCCATTTGAAAAAATTGAGATATTGTTAAAAATACGATTTGGGCATCTTTTAACCGAGTAGGACAAGACACGAAAAAACATTAGACGATCAAAACTATTTTTCCAAGGCTACTTGATTAAAAATTTCTGTTTTTAACCCAGCCATGGCACTCTAGATTGAAATTTAAAATACGATTATTTCAACAAAAAAAATTAAAATGTCAAAAGTTGACTTATGATGTCATTCTATTCAGAGTGTCACTTTTTATCGAATAAAGTAGAAATATACCGTAGGTGCCATTTAAAAATCAAAAGTTGTAGTCATTTCCGGTAAAACAGGAAGTGACCACAAACAACTGAATACATCAATCAATCCTAATTTATGTCATATACTAACATACCAACTCTCGTTTTTTTGTCTGAAAATATAAAAAAGTTATAGAAGTGAGCCACTTTCAAGACGCACCCGGTATTTATATACAGTTTACTAAAAAGTTCATAAAAATACCCAAGTAGCATTTGGACGTTATCTAACGTCGGGTATACGTCGCGTTCAATAAACCCGACGTCGGGACCAACGTCGGTTCGACCGCCTGACGACCCTTATTTGCACCTAAATGGGGAATACAGATTCGGGTCGCCTCGACGTCGGTATCTGACCTAATAGGGAATGTAATTCTACCAATTACCAACGTCATATTACGTTGGATTTTAATCACTTATAATTCGTCGCTAAACACTTACGTTACGTTTGGTTTCATATTCGCTACCAAGAATACATAAAAATCTAACCAAACTACCTAATTACAAATGGATTCATAATCACTTCTCGAATATAACTATAAGTGCCTATCTAATTTCATATTATAATAATTCTGAATCATTAATCCAGACATCAGTTTTGTCAACGGAAGTCACTTTTTTGATATATCTGATTAAAATACTCCGGAAAACAACGAGCGCCTTCAAAATTTGGTAGATTTATGAAATAAAAATATCTATCAAAAAGTTACTCGCAAAATATTTTTTTAATTTTCTAGCTGGTTTAATCATAAAACTGTACTGTGGTTCCCCCCCCCCCCAAACTCATGGCGGATTTCTGTGTCCGACTTAATATGAATTACCAATATACCAATTCCGACCGGGTCTCCAACATTAGTCGTCTCACACGACCGACGTCATCAAACCGGACGACCGGCAATCGTATTATGACGTATATAATTCCAACGTACGCCATGTAACCTCACTTTGCGTATCAGTGATTTGTGAATTTGTGCAACTATATTTTAGTTTTTGTTTCCTCCTTAAAAAAATGGGCAGCCACTTTTTTAAGCCTAACTTCACATGTGGGAGGAGGATGGGGTCTGCTGGTTTCCTAAGCTAAAAAATGAAATTAGGATGCACCAGTCTCTTTCGGCATGCAGCATCTCTTTCGGATAAAAATCATTTATGGGTGGAGGCAAGACATCACTACTACTATTATTATTTTGCAAAAGCCTCGACCTCTTTTTGTAAAATGTAGATGAATGTCTAAATGCCTTTTTAGTGTTTTTTAGGCATAAGTTTGTTTACAAAAACTTTTTATTAGGTTATGTTCATGATGTTCATTAGGTCGCAAATGCTACTTAATGGGTTGTATTTACGGACGTAAATAGAGATACGTAAATTAGGTTATAAATATGAACATAAAATACAACAAAATATAATTGGACGTTACTTTAGGGATTATCAGTGAGACGTATCCTATTCGGACAACGGGTAGACGTCGGGCTAGTTCAAGTATATGTACGTCGTGCAATCCAACGTGGGAACGACGTTGGGAAATTAATAAAAATGGTACGTTGTTATTTTGTAAGTCGACAGATCGTTGGATTTACCGACTCAGATCCAACGACGTCGCTTTTAATAGGAAAGCGACGTCACAGGTCGTATCACCAGCACCCGACCTAGATTTGCACAAAGTCTGACGTCGCTTTAGGTCAGATTTAGTTCGAAGTCAGATAGATGCTACTTGGGTAAGACTATAAATAAAACAAATATAATATTTTAAAATTGACGTATATTTTTGCATTTTAATATTACAAATTATTTCTACAATTGATTGATCTGAGTGAGGACAAATAAAGTTAAAATTTAAAATAATAGGAGAAATTTGACATGGTTTATATTCGCTGTTCGATGTAATTAAACCTATATATACTTTATGTCGGATCGTTTCTATTGATAAACCCACGCATTTGCATTTTGATAATTACGAAAACAATGAATAATTCAAATTAACTTCACACAGAAACTAATATACGTAAGAAACCATTTTATTATTCTTTCCCGAGTTCTGCAATGAATAATTGTAGAAACTTTAATCTATCTGAATACGAGAAACTCGCTTTTATTTGCGTCTACAGAACAGTTATTATAATTTATTGCTGAGAATATGTTTAAATTTTAATATAAAATGTGATATTTTAAGTTATGTTCGACAATATTAATATTAAGAGATTTTTTTTTCTATTTTCCACTTAAATAACACGGGGAAACTTTTTTTTCTCCCAAAAACATAAAAATCCTATTCTCCCTCTCAAAAACATAAAACATCCTATTTTTCGTAAAGTTTATCAAGTGTTCTTTGGTAAAACTTTTTTTTTATTTTTAACTACGACTGTGTTTTTTTTGTATCTTGCCTGTCGCCCAATACTTTTAGTTTTAGGGTGTATTCCGTTGCTTACCTTGGTTATGGTTTTATGTTCCGTTTTTATCGGTTTTCTGAAAGTTTTCTTATTACGGAACACGGTTCCTGAAAAATTCGGTTATAACTGTCACCCAACTAACCAGTGCGAGCAGACTGGGTTTTCTGGTTTTGTTTGTCAATCTCTTTTTGAAATTCTCATTTAATTTCTAAAATATGTAATAATATTTTGTATTTACATCCAAAAGCAATGGAAGTAGGCAGTAAAGGTAAATAAATTTTATTAACTAAATAGAATGATTTTTTAGGACCATTTAAACTTATCATGCAGCCATTGTTTCTTAAAGTCAGGAACATTTAATGAAAACATGAAAAACAAGACACCAAGTAATCGTGAATGTTTTGTAAGCTATAAAAATATAAATATTGATCATATTTGTTTATTTATTATAAAGTTTATTATTGATCTGTTTTAATACAAGACCTGCAAATCTTCACTTGAGCTGTCTAACGAGTTTAACAGTTTATTAATAAAGTACTTTTAATATTAAACTCCATTGAAAAGAAGAAGCAAAAGTAAAAACAGAGAATAGGTACATTAAAAATGCTTAAAAGATAAATTTTATAATGGAGGTATTGAAATTTAGAAAACGTCAACATTTGACGTTTCCAGTATTTTACCAAACCGTTCCGTATCAAACCGATGTTTTTCAGGAACCGCTTTTTACTGTAATTTTCCGGTCTGGTTCGCCTGGTTTGCAACGGAATACAGCCTAGTGTAATTTGGTTTCCTTCAGTGTGAGATGACCTGACTATTTCAAAAATTTCAAATTTTCAAAAAAAGTTTTTCGTGAAAAAAACCCTCATAGGCGTGTTTTTGGGGTCGAAATACAGGGTGTGCCAGGCTGAGCGTGCATTAAAAGCTTCTAGAACCACAATATCTACATATATTGGAGATTTTTTGCACATCATCGTTTTACAATTAGATCTATCGATTCAAAATATTTTTATTATGGCGGCACTTCCGGAAATACCGGAAGTGGACAGCAATTTTCTTATTTTAAGTGGGGTGCCCCAATTTTTTATTACATACTTAACTTCTCTGTAAAATTTTATGAACTTTGATATTAAATACTCTACAGGGTTGTTCACCACATACGACACGGAGTATTGTAGCTAAACGATTAGATTTTTACAAATTGTAAGTTTTGGGTTCGTTGAAGGACTATTAGAGCTACAATTTAAAAATAATTTTACAAGATACAGAGTGTCCCAAATAAGTAAAAAATATTATAGTTGTATTTTTTTAAATATAAAACCCTGTATATTATTCTATTTTTGGATTCTACGATTGAAATAAAGGTAAATTTGATTAAGGTTTATTACACTTAAACCTTACCGTTTTTGAAATATTTTCAATTTTATGAAATTGCAGTAAAAAATTTAAGGCTTTATTTCTCCAAGGGTATCAAAGTTTTTAATACTAAATATTTACTGAAGGTTATTTATTGATCAGATATTGTGTTGCAATAAAAAAACCTATTACCTTATACAGAGTGTCCAAAAATTTATATTAAATAATTACTAGCTTTAAACAGCAATAACTTGTTTAATTTAAATGGAACATCCTATATATTTTACGTGAATCAGATGCACAATGTAATTGTCTATCAAATTGTATTGTTTCATTTTTTACTCATCTCTTCAAGTTTTCATAGAAAATGCATTTTCTTATAATTTAGACCTCATTTATCACTATACCCATGGAATATTGACATGTTAGCTTATTTTTAAAGATGTAATAAATTTTCAAAGGGTACATATACTAATATTGTCGATATAGTTCGCTTATTTAATTAAAAAATAAAAAACAACTGTTTAAATATGTTTTGTTAAAGAGGACCAATTAATATGATCCCAGTATTCAAACTACATTAATTGACTGTTTACGTTGTAGTAATAATTGCTCCAAATCCTAAAAAACTGAATTTTGTGTGTGTATTAGACAGTGTGGTAAAAAGTAACATCTTATAAATTTTATTTCATTTATTAACGAATGCTTATTTATAAAAACAAAGACATTCATTTTCATAACTTATTATTATATTGATTTCTGAGCCAAATCCACATTTATTTAGAATAATTTATTAATTAAAACAATTTAAAGGTATGTAATTAACTAATTTTTGGTGTTTTTGGTAGGAAATAATGGTGGTATACTTAATTGGTATACTCTTTTACAAAGATTTAAATAGTTTTTTTGTATGCCAATAGGCTTGCAATATTTACCACCTGTACGTTTTGTACATATTATGGTGCTATAAAAAAATCGGAAATGTCAATATTTCATGGATATAGTGATAAATGAGGTCTAAATTGTAAGAAAATGCATTTTCTACGAAAACTTGAAGAGATGCGTAAAAAATGGTATAATTCAATTTGATAGACAATTACATTGTGCATCTTATTCGCGTAAAATATATAGGGCGTTCCATTTAAATTAAACAAGTTATTGCGGTTTAAAGCTAGCAATTATTTAATATAAATTTTTGGACACTCTGTATAAGGTTGTAACATTTTTATTATTGGAACACAATATCTGATCAATAAATAACCTTCAGTAAATATTTAGTATTAAAAACTTTGATACCCTTGGAAAAATAAAGCCTTAAATTGTTTACTGCAATTTCATAAAATTGAAAATATTTCAAAAACGGTAAGGTTTAAGTGTGATAAACCTTAATCAAATTTACCTTTATTTCAATCGTAGAATCCAAAAATAGAATAATATACAGTGTATTCCATTTAAAAAAATACAACTATAATATTTTTTACTTATTTGGGACGCTCTGTATATTGTAAAAATATATTTAAATTATAGCTCTAATAGACCTTCAAAAAACCAAAACTTACAATTTGTAAAAATCTAATCGTTTAGCTACAATACTCCGTGTCGTATGTGGTGAACAACCCTGTATATCTAACAATAACCGTTTTTGAGAAAAAACATTTTTTTTTAATTTTTGGACAAAAAAAACTACCTGTCAAAAAAATGTGTATAACCTAAACGTCAAATTTAGTGATTATCAATTATCACAGCCACTGTGCCATAAAGAGAAGACATGTGGCTATCTATTTAAAAATTAAATTGTTCAAATGTCATATAAAAATGGCCGTAGCTATCATGGAATTGAGCGATTAAAAAATTATCATAAATCATTTTTTTTTCGAATGGAAATCCACTTTTTTTATTTCACTAATGAAAAGGCTTCTCAATTCGTCACTTTTTGACTATACGTGTTCCTATACCTAAAATAAATTGTTTTTAAGTTATTTAAGATTTAGTTTTAAAGCATATATTTTTCTTTAATTTAACCAGTAGCCTATGACTTTAAACGTCATGCGATGTAAAATAATAGATCTGGCCATTGGATTGTGACACTTCCAAGCCAACTTAGCGCTTTTTTTTGATCATATGGCATGTTATTAATAATATCAACTATTAGATATCATTAAAGAGCGAAAATATGATATACGATATATTTTTATAAATACACTTTTAAACTCTTAAGCCGGCAGTATTTATAATATAGGAAATTCAAATAATTCGTTTTGTGATAGATGGAAATAAATTGTCTGACTGTTTGACACTTAATGTCAAAGGAAGCTAGACAAAATCAAGAAAAATATACGTTTTCAAACTAAATGTAGATCTAAACATTGTAGTTTTCTAGAAACTTCTAATGCACGCTCAGCCTGGGACACCCTGTATACCACCCTTAAAAATATTTGCACTTATTATGGTTACAATTAAGACTCAGCCTGTATATAATTTTTGTTGATTATATAATTTTTGTTTCAGTTATAAATGGAATCATATTTGTGACTGGGTTGCTAGGAAACATAGCTGTATGTATAGTGATAATCAAACAGCCAACACTGCATACAGCAACAAATTACTATCTTTTCAACTTGGCAGTATCAGATGTAACGCTTCTCGTTTTTGGTAAGTAAAAATAAAAATGTGTCTTAAAAATGTTCATTTTTTAATTCTCTATCTAACAAAGGAATAATAACGAGGGTATTGCTTAAAAAAAACGAAAGAAAATTATTTTATATTTTAGAAAGTTTGGCATAGAATTTCGAGCATCATGTATCGTTTCCCTCTCTTCAGTCCTGACCCCCATTAGGGAGTGTAGTGGTCAGCGTAACATCATGGATGATTTTTCTCCATGCGCCTCTGTCTTTTGTCATCTCGATGACATCGTGCATTGGCTTGCTACAGCTAGTCGTGATCTGGTCTATCCATCGAGTTGGAGAGCGGCCACGTGGTCTACGTCCCTCCACCTTGCCTTGAATTATGAGTCTTTCCATATTGTCCGGACTTTTCCTCATTATATGTCCAAAATATTTTAGTTATTTTAGTCGGATTTTACAGGAAAGCCTGTTAGTAATATTAAGTTCATTTATAATGGAAACGTTTGTACGGCGTTCAGTCCATGGGATACGGAGCATACGTCTATAACAATACATCTCGGTAGCCATCGATCTTCTTATGCCGGAACCGCACATGCGGCGTTTAGCGAACTCCGAGCGCTCGTCAATTACCGAGCGCTCGTGATCGGACTTCGCCTTTCCATCCACACATGCGGGCTCTGATAGCAACAACATAGAGATGAGCACTCGTTCTCGTCGCCGAACTTCGACTCCCCATCCACACACATAGGAAATCGGCGAAGCTCCGATCGGAGATCGCCAAATGCCGCATGTGCGGTTGCGGCATTACGTTCCGCCAGCCTGAGAGTCCACGATTCACAGCCATACGTCAATATTGGGAGTACCAAACAGTTGACTAGCCGGTTTTTGGTGGCTCTTGAAATCTGGCGGTCTTTCCAGATCTTGGTCAGTCTCCCAACAGCTACCTTTGCCATGTTGCACCTACGCTTCACCTCTTCTTCCGATGTACCTGTATTTGTCAATAGTGATCCCAGGTATACGTATGACTTAACGACTTCAAAGCGGTCGATATGACTTATATTTGGATGGTTGTTATGGTGCCTATCAACTATCATGATTTTGGTTTTTTGCGTATTTAGTTCCAGACCGAGCCGATTGCTTTCATTTTCTACCCTATTTACTAAATTGATTAACTCTTCTTGACTGCTAGTGAGTAGTGCTGTATCATCTGCAAAGCGTAGATTATTTATTTTTTGGCCATTTATTGAAATGCCTCCTTCCCATGTTTCTAGCGACCTTCTCATTATGTATTCTCCGTATATGTTAAATAGTTGAGGAGACAATATACACCCCTGTCTGACTCCTTGTTCGAGGGAAAATTCCTTTGAAGCTGAATCCAGTATTCTAACCGATCCTGTAGTGTGCTGATACAACTGGATGATAAGCGAAATAAGGTGTTGCGGTACCCCCACTTCCTGTAAGATTTTCCACAGGTGATGCCATCTGACTTTATCGAAAGCTTTTTTATAGTCTACGAAACAAATATAAAGAGGGATGTTGAATTCCCTTGCTTTCTCTATGATTTGGCGCATATTCAGAAGATGTTCCCGAGTGCCTCTGCCCTTGGTAAAACCTGCTTGTTCTGCTGGAATTTCTCTTTCTAGAAAAGCTTTCAGTCTTTCATTTATAATTTGCAACATTACTTTACTGGCATGTGAGATGAGGGAAATTGTACGATAGTTGCTGCACTTACATATGTATGCTCCCTTTCTTGTGGAGAGTGACAATGGTGAAATGTGTCCAGTCGTCGGGCCATTCTCCTGTGTGCCATATTTTATTACTGATCAGATGAAGCATTTTTAATCCAGGTTCTTTAACGGCTTTTTTATTTCTGCTGTCATTAGGTCTGAACCTGATGCTTTATGGTATTTTAATTTGTTTATGGCCAATTCAACTTCACTTTTAAGGATGTCCGGTTCTTTCTCTGAATTTTCGTGGTGGTCGACGTAGTTATATTCTTCACTGTCTTTGTATAAATCTTTGCAATATGATCACCACACCTCAATAATGTCTTCTTTTTTGGTTCTTAAAGTTCCATTTTGATCTTCGGTTGCCCAATTTCTAGCTTTAAAGTCCCTGGTAATATATTTTATTTTTTTGAAGACGTCTCTTGGTTGGTTATTTAGACTGTGTCCCTCGATTTCTTTGCATATATCAGAGTAAAATTGTTGTTTGTCTCTTATTGCTCCTTGCTTTATTGCCTTATTCAGGTATTTTAGTTCTTCTTTCTCTTCTTCTGTATGTATGCCTTTCCGGTGGAGAAGTCTTCTGTCTTCGATGATCTGGAATGTCTCGTTCGATAACCAATGTTTTCGTTTTATCGGTTGATCTTCTTTTTCTGATCCTGTTGCAGTTGTTTTGTATTTTTTGAAAGCTTCCCATATTTCTTGGGCTGTTGTAAAATGCTGTTGGGCTGTGTGTTAAATCTAGTGTTCATTATGGAATAGCTGTTAATGATGGCAAATTCGATTAAACGGTCTCCTCTTTCATTCCTCTCTCCCAAGCTGTATTTTCCAATATTTTTTTTTATTTTTTTTTTATTTTTTTTCCAAGGATATTTTTATATCGTTTATGATTAGAATATTTATAGGAAACTAAGTACAGACCAACTGTGGTAAATACCTAGCATGGTTTTGATTTTAGGATATTTCTTGTATTTTTAATATTTTTTTTAGACTGATCTTTTTTGTTTATTTATTAATATATCTTAAACTATCAAAATATATTTAATAATATGTTAAGATTATGTACAGCGATCAAAAAGGAAGCCAAAAATGCAATAATATACAGGGCGTTCTATTTAGAAAAATTATCCCGATCCACTCATATTTTTTTGAGCCAACCTGTAGAAGTTAGGGTGGATAACTATAGGAGCTACATATGCCCGACGCACAATTATTGTCGAATTGTAGCCATTTATAAAAGGTTGTCAGTAAAAGTTATTCTATTGTACAGGGTGAGTGTGGTGAGGAAGAATGTTGGTGGGAGTTAGAACAAATAAAACTTTTAAAAATATTGGATCACTTCAATATTCAAGCTGATCCACATAATATTTTAAAATTGGAATTTACTTCTTCGGTATATTTATTAAAAATTATAGAACATAATGACATAACCTTCTAAATATTAAAAGGGAAAACATAGTAAACATTTTAAGGCTTAAAAAAACGATTAAAAAAAAACATTCATAAAGATAAGATTATTTATTGGTGCAAGGTTTTTTAATAAAGTTCTTCATCGTGGACAAAATAAAGGTATGCCCGAATTTTCTTTAAAGGGAGTTATTCGTATATCCAAACCTAATTAAAATATTAATAAGTTCATAATCACTAGGTTTTTTAATATATTTTTCTCTTGCACGCTTAACTATGACCAAAACAAGCACTATTACATTCTTGCGAGTGCCTAGTTTACCTTAATTTTTCACAGAAAATTGCATCCGTAGGAAAAATACCGCACAGCACTTTTTACAACGATAACAAAACAATTATACATAATCACAAAAGCGAATTTACGCCAGATGTCTGTCAACGTTGCTAACGTTTAGCCCAATTTAATGTTAACTGAATCTTTCAAACTCACTGCTATCGTCCAGGAAATGCTAGCATTCACTAGTAAAAGTTGGTTTCAAAAATAGCTGTTGAACTTTTATTGGCGTAGTCTTAGCAAATCAGTGAATGTGAGCTTTTACTAGTAATTGTTAACAATCACCGATTTACAACTTTTACTATAACATATACAGGGTGGTCCGAACTGTATTCCGGAAACTTCGGCAGCATATTCTGCAGATAAAAATTAGTAAAAAAGTTCGTATAAACGTATGTCCAAAAATGCTTAGTTTTGGAGATACAGGGAGTAGAAGTTTCATTTTTACTTCAATTTTTTCCAAATAATTTCTGAAGTAACGTCAATATTTGGATGAAAATTGGTGTTTGGGAGTTTTTTGACATAAGAAATTTAATTTTGAGGTCAATATGATTCCTACTAGCAGAGGGCGCCACCTACATATTTTTTAACTGGTTTGAAGACTAATAAATTTTCGTCAGTAGCTGTATAAAACTATTGAATAAAAAAATATACATTTACGACGTTTTTTACGTAAAAAAATCTCTTTTTTTAGAGAGATTTCGAGATATTTGGAATCGAAATTATCAATACCTGTCATCGTTGGCATAAATTAAACTTGTTGACTAAATAGTTATTGAAATCATAAATTTTAAATGTTTTTGTGCCAAAAGTTCAACAGAAACTGTTGAACTATTGAAAAAATTTATGAATAATTTAAAAAAATAAAGAGTTCCCAAATTTATCATTTCAGTAAAATAACTATCTACTCAACGTGTTTATTTTTCGTCAATAATGACATATATTGACTATTTCCATCCTAAATATCTTAAGAACGGTTTCTCGTAGCGATTTTTACAAAGAGATATTTTTTACGTAAAAAACACAGATGTGTTTTTTTTGCTCGGTAGTTTTATACAGGTACGGACAAAATTTATTACGCTTCAAACCAGTTAAAAAACATGTAGGTGGCGCCCTCTACTAGTAGAGGTTATTTTGACATCAAAATCAAATTTCTCATGTCAAAAAACTCCCAGCCACCAATTTTCATTCAAATATTGACGTTACTTCAGAAATTATTTGGAAAAAATCGAAATAAAAATGAAACTTCTACACCCTGTATCTCCGAAACTAAGCATTTTAGGACATACATTTATATGAACTTTTTTACTTATTTTTATCTGCACAATATGCTGCCAAAGTTTCCGGAATACAGTTCTGACCACCCTGTATACTAGATTTGTAAAAACTGTAACACAACAAATATAACAATCAACAATCTGGAAATTTGTTGAACATTTAGCCATATCTGATGAGCACCCACGAGGTTTTATAATAGCCGGCGCCCCTAAATTTGTGCCTCTTTTCAAATTTATGTTGATTTATTTTATGCACGCGGAAAAGTTTTTGCTATTCTTTTTACCC